TCACCAGCGCTCCAGGAAGGAGCCCGTTAAGTCTGATGCACCATCTGCCATGAGGCCCTCCAAGTCCCTGATGTCCATCTCCAACACGGGTGGTTCTGGGCTGCTCTCTCACAACTTGGGACTGAGTAACTCACCAATCACCGAAGAGCGTAAGGACACGAGTTGGAAGGGCAGTCTGGGTAAGAAGCAGCGGTCGGTGCAGAGGTTTTAGCCCATGTGACCATTTCCTGTCCATGACATGTTCTCGTGTTCCTCCAGGGGTTCTGCTCGGCCCCGAGTTTCGCATGGAGTCTCTCAGGACGGAGTCGATGTCGTCGTCTCCGTCCCCGGTCCTTCCTTCGACACCGATGACTGCGGGACACTCAAAGACAGGCAGCAGAGACAGTTACACGCAGACGGACAAGGGCCACAGTCAGGACACCAGCAAGCCCAGCACGCCGGCCCTGCAGAGCATGACGCTGCCAGCTCGCCTGTCCAGTCCTAGCCCCGTCTACATCCCCGACCGCATCGCAGGTCAGCCTCTTTGTGACTCGCAGCCAGCTGTGTTTCACCTTCACAGCAGAAGTCTGTACACGTGCTTCCTCTTTGTGCACTGGAGAGTAAAGACACGAGTATGTCATAGTTTCTGCTCGTAGTGAGCATGTAAGAGCTTTTTCTACTACAAGCCGCACATTTACAGTCACATGCTTACAGCGCTTTATTCTACACCTTTAAATGCTTTAGATCTGCCATGCGTTACCTAAGACGGTCCAAGGATAACGCCACGTGCAGCCTGGACGAGCTCGCTGGCTCTGCAAAGCCTGAGGTTCAGGGTCGACTGGACCTCTGAGAAATAACGTCTCATTCTTCCATAAAAACACATCAGACGCCTCTTTGCTCTTTGCCCTCTCCCTCCCTGTCGATTCTTCACTGTCCCATTCAATAAATATATACAGATATAGATATAGACCTCTGTTGGATTTAGGTAAGGTGAGTCAGTCATTAAGAAATCTCCAGCTGAAGTGATGACAGTGTCACTTGAGGCTGGAGATCGTTGTGCACCAGGAGGAAGCCAGAAGCTGCTGCACCAGCATAAATACGAGGAGGGGAAACCCTTCCTGTCCTTCTACGTGTGCTCCTGTTGTTAATTTCATTGACACCAAAGCAGCTGACCCTGATTTACAACCACTGACCAGATCAACGTCACAGAAGTTTACCTGACCAGTTGCTGTACTCTGTTCCTTTAATCTTTTTTACGTAGTGCACTTAAAATTGACAAAAATCATAATCTCAGACGGGCTGAGGAGCAAATATTGCTTGTTCTTCTACAGCACAGTGACGCAGAGTTAGCAGCATCACCTCAACACAAGGGTGACCTGGAGTTGTATCTGTTCTGTGTGGAGCTTGCATGTTCTCTGTGAGGCTTCATGGGTTCTCTTCAGGTTTCTCCTGCAGGCCAAAGACATGCATGTTATATA